CGCGCACACACACACACACACACACACACACATGCATGTAATAAAATAAAAGTAATGTTATATTTCATAACAAATTATATATTGTACATTTAATATAAATGCAAATTTACATAAAATACATCTCGCTGTTTCATTTTCGTATGCGACATTCGCTCAGCAGAATAATTATTTACCATTTAAGTTACTAATTAAGAACTATTAATCATCTAATGTTTATCATCTAGTGTTCTTGCGTTTTTATTTCAACTTTATAACACGATGTAATATTTTTTTTGCATGATTTGATTCTTTTGATTCAGCATGTACAGAGTTTGCATGATTTCGTTTGTCTTGTATTGCCTACTAGTCTCCTGCGGTTTTACATGTAGTGAACAATCTCGTGATTATCTTACAACATCACGAATGGCTTGTTTTGCTGACAGAATAACGTCATTGATTCCTACACCTTGGTAAGAAGAACCGCACAATGCCAGAGGAATATGATGCGCAGAAATATAATCGTGGATGCGTTTCACACGTGCTTTATGACCCACGACGTGCTGCGGAATACAATCCTTCAGGATGGCAACGTTATGTGCGATTGGTTCCTCTTCAATTCGTAAGATATTCTTGGTGTGTTCGATCGCCGTCGTTAATAATTGCTTCTCCGAGGGATTTGGTCCGAAGTGTTTCTCAAACCATGCACCTCCCATCATTACTGTCAATACCTAAGTCATTTTATATAATTTATACATAATTTATAATCAGAAAATTATATATATTTTTTACTTGTGTTTATAATTCTCGCAGTTTTGTATATATATAAATAAAAAATACGTTAGAAATGAAGATTAAATTGTGATTCGACTAAGAAACAGGCAATAAAACTGTTGAGCCATACGTACCGTGGAAGACCCTTGAGGGAATACACAGGAGTCGAAGGTCACTCCTAATAAAGGTAGATTCTCCTTCGGAGGTATGAGAAAGCCGAATGCCTGCACAGGCAGCACACTCTGAAATTCAAGATTGACTACTCCTACCGTCACGGTGGGGATCACCCTCAATTCTGCCGACAGTTTAGGATGTTGCTCCTGCAAAAGTTCGGCCAGAACCTTTGCGGGTAAACTTGAAATAACACGTGAGCATTTCCGAAGATTGTCATTGATCGACAGCTCTACATGATCTGACTTGAACGTAAGTTTCTCACATTTCTTCCTGGTCTGTATATCCACATTTCGTTTTTTCAAATCATCGACTAGTGCCAAAGGTAGCTGCTCGAGCCCTCCCTGCAAGCTCCACATCATCCATTGTTCCCTTCGTCCTCTTTCTACCAAATCGGATCCAATCGCAGGTACTAAATCATGTTCATCCCTTTTCGTTGAATCATTTTTCGACTTTGAGAAGATCCGTTTCAATCGTTCCGCTAGCAAGCCTTTTACTATTGAACCATATTTTTGTTCCGCTTCGAACAGCTTTGGGAACAGAAAATTGACACTTATCTCGCGTGCATCTCCTGCACAGATCCCACAAATTAAAGGACTGATGATGTTATCCGCAATATCTTGACCCAATCTCCTCTGGATAAAACTATGAATGCTCTCATCCTCCTTGGATATCTTGGGAGCTCTCAAATCTGTCCATAGGCGATTTATTAAGGGACGATCCAGTAGCGAAATTGTTTTAAAAATACCTTTTAAGGAATTTGGTAAAAGATGCAGCGCTTCATTCATGTAGATAAATCTGTGTTGCGTTGCGGGATGGCTTGGTCCGATATGAATTATCTTGTCTTTCAATTGTAAATCGTTCACTAAATTAAGGGTGTTTTCTCCTTCTCGGCCAAACAATCTTATGGTTCTAGGCCCTTGTTCAAAAATCGCTCCACTTGGTGAACTTCTACTGCGAATCCATCCACCCAGACGATTAGAAGCCTCATATAAAATGATGGATGAAATTCTGGCATCATTAGCAGCATAATATGCCGCTGATAGTCCTGATATGCCACCTCCTAGTATCACTGTCATTTTAATACTCTTCAAAAGTATTAAAAATCCAATTGCTCCGATAGTCTTTATAAAATAGACACTTATATTTTGATATTCTCCTTTTTAGCTGAAAGGCTGAAGTATAAATAAAGTTTATTCTATTTATATAATTCTCGGATATTTTATTTAATGTATTTTTTAATATTTATATAAACATTATTAGTATTACATAACTAAAAAATGATTTTGTGTTCGTAAGCAAAACAAAATAAGTATTAAAGTGTTAAAATAAGTATTAATTTATAAATTGATTCATGAAGGCAATACATGATTCGACTATTTTAATATTATAATCTTATTTTGCATCAAGAGTGTTGATAAAAGAACATTAGAAAAGTGGTAAATAATTATTTTTCAAATTTCCTCTCGATAATAGGTTATGTTCCACGATTTATATGGAAATATATATATATGAGATCTCTCCTGCATTCTGTATTTTTAATGTTTTTGTTTTTAATATCCTTTAATTTTCTCCCTTTCTAAAAAAATAAATTTCTAAATAAAATATTGTATCTCAAATTATATTCTATTATAAAAATTCCATATATTCGCAGTCTAACCAAATCTAACCAATAAATATACTTCATCAAACTTCATACCGATTACTCTCTTCTCTCCCCTCTCGCATATCGTCCCGCATATCGCTGATATTCGTGAAAATTGTCCAGGATTGGCTCCCCTCCCTTCCCGCCCTAGGGACTTACTCGTGACTAACGTCTTTTGCGAAATGTTGCAACGACCGACCGACTGCAAACTCTGCAGCGTTCATGTCCGTGACGATCGTGAAATCGCGGATCTCTTCTATTTGTGACGGAGTCGTCGTGAATCGATTCCGCTTTCCCGGAATTTCACCGACCGCGCGTACTTTTCGCACAGTACCTGGCTGGCCGTGAACTGCCCTCGTGTTCGATCGCGATCAGTTCGAAGCGTCGTCCCGAGCGTTTTTGTCGCGCGCAGAGAGTACTAGTCGCGTGTCGTCCGAGGACACGACGGTGATCTTGTTCAGCGGGGACAAGGACAACAACAACGAGGACGACGACGACGACGCGCCGTTCGAAGGGCGCGAGATGCAACGGCGTTAAGGAAAATCGTGTTTTGGGTCGATGAGGCCGACGGGTAAGAGCATCGGAATCAGATACGTCGGTATGCAGAACGGCGACAGCGAGGAGACATGCGCCTCCGCGGGTCGCGACGACGAGATGCCGAGTAACGGCGGCGCCGAGGAGGCCGCCGGGGATCGCGACGGCGAGGTGTCCGCTCACGACGGTGCCGATGAGCGCGCCGCGGATTGCGAAGACGGCGATCCGAGTCGTAGCACCGACGCGGAGCACGAGGACGATGCCGAGGAGGCTGTCGCGGCCGAGGCTGGCGCAGACCAGGAGAACAGGGACTGTAAGGAAGCACGGAAATCCGTGAAGAAAGGAGACTGTGTCTGGACTATGTATCTACCGTCCACCTCGGGAAAGGAGACACTTGCCATCTCGAAGAATAATTATGGCTGCGAGCACTACAAACGAAAGTCTAAGTTTGTGGTAAGAGCTCGAGAATGGAGGAAATGCATTTCAACAATGTTTCTTTCTGAAGATATATTATGCTTGCTATAATTATAAATTATATACAGGATGTTCTGTAAGTTGAGATCAATCACTTAAGAAATGAATAAGGATATAAAAACAAGGAAGTATAGTTAGCATAAACAGGAGTCCAAAAATGTCATTTTCGAGTTATTGCTATTAAAATTTGAAATCTTTTTCCTAGTTCTAATCTCTGCCAAGAGATGCTAAGCAGGCTGTCTCTCTACATGGTACAGTCCTGTATAGTACTAAAGCAACTTTTACTTAACTTTAATTATGTTATAAAATTCATAAAAACCATTCTTTCTTTCAATTTTGATAAAAAAATTTGAAAGCAAGGCGATTTAAAATTTCAATATAAAAATGATGATAACTTGAAAATAATGCATTTCTATGTTTGTACCAACTTTTTTCTCTCTAATTGCCTCATGAGTTATTAATCTTTGCTTTTGAAATGCTTTATGTATATAAAAAAGGTTGTAATCATGCTTAGTGTTGATAATAACTCTATAAATCTAAATTAAGATACATTCAATATGCTTATATAAAATGAGATACATATGTTTTAAATTTGATAAAAGTGAGAAAGAAAGTTTGCAGTTGAGTATAAAGCAATATAGAGTTTAAGAGAATAGGTCAAGTAGAAGATGCATATTCAATAAATATTTCAGCCCATTCTAATTTTTAAAAACTTTTTATTACGATTTATTAAATTAAATTAGTATCTGCAAGTAAAAAAAGTACAGAGAAAGATGTTATATTTTGTAATATAGAAAATAACATTGATTTAATACAATAAGCAATGTTAGTAAAGATTGTTTTTATTGAAATTAAAATTGTTATATTTTTAGAAAGGAATATTGTTATAATTTATATGTTGAATATCTGTTTTTATATTTGCAACTCTTAAATCAATATCTCAAATTTTAAGAATTTTATACATTTTAATTTTGTATATAAGTTATATGTTGTGGAACATTCTTATGTATAAATAAAAAAATAACTGCAAGAGATATATTTTGTTTCTGAATGAATTATTCTCTTTTCTATTTTAATCTTGTTATATATTCTTGTTTTTATAGACTCCATGCTGTAACAAAGTGTACACCTGTCGGTTTTGTCATGATGAGCAGGAGACGCACACAGTGAATAGGAAAGAAGTCACAGAATTGATATGTGTCCTCTGCGATACTCGTCAACCTGTTCAAGCTACTTGTCAGAATTGCCATTGCCAATTTGGCAAATATACATGCCTGGAATGCAACCTCTTTGATGATGAAGATAAAAATCAATACCATTGCGATGGATGTGGAATTTGTAGAGTCGGTGGTCGTGACAAATTCTTTCACTGCGCCAAGTGCAATATGTGCTTGCCAATTCAATTACAAAATGGGCATACGGTAAAGAAACAATACAATATAAAATACACGCATCTTTGCGATAAAAATATATTCAAAATATATTCAGAACAATAATTGAATAACTTGTTTTTTAAATACATTTCTGTGTTTTACTTGTTTACACAGTTTGTAATTATTGCTATATATGTAAAATCTCAAATGAATTTTTCTTTGTAGTGCATAGAGAATGTCTCACATTCCAATTGTCCCGTGTGTCTGGAAGACATTCACACGAGTCGCATACCATGTCACATTCCCGATTGCGGACACTTGCTTCACCGTATGTGTTTCGAGGAACTGTTGAACTCGGGACATTACGCTTGCCCGTCCTGCCAGGTATCGCTCTTGGACATGACGGACTTGTGGAAGTATCTGGATGCGGAAGTGTCGTTGACGCCAATGCCGGAGGAGTATAACGACTGTAAAACCGATATCTTATGTAAAGACTGCCATGAGGTCAAATCTACTTCTACATACATATATCCCAAATGCTGAAAAGCGTGGAAAATGATTAAGAGATATTAATGGCAAGATACCTATTTCAGGAATCTACGGTAAAGTTTCACATCGTCGGATTGAAGTGCTTAAACTGTGGTAGCTATAATACCTGCAGGATAAAAGGCTCTCCTTGCTCGGGTAACGATCAATCGCTAATCGAATTGCTTTACATTCATGGACGATTACGTGAATTCTTGATAATTCGTTTACAGATCCCGATGCTCTGAACGAAGCAGCTGGTATTACAGAAGAGAAAGAGGGATCGTAAAGCCAAAGTTTGGACTGTTCGATATTGTTTATCGAGCGGAAAGAATATACCATAGTAGATAATAGGAGAGTATTTGTATTTTAGAATTTTATCTTTATTTCATTTTTTTGTAGCAAATTGCACTTTTGTTGTCTTTAGTACTTTTCAATTGTTCGAAATACATAAACATGAAGTATCTGTTAAATAACTATTGCTGTTATTAAAACGAATATGTTGTTTTCAATGGTTAATCTATGGACACAGATTGAGTAGATCGTTAACATGTAGCGTATTAGCAAAAATATTTCTATAAATCTATATTTATTAATTTATAATGGAAGCAATAGTTGAAGTTAAATCAATGTGAAAATATTTTATAGATCCGCGTATTTTCTTTACGCATATCATATTTATGAAGATATCGTTTTTCGATGTTTTTACTTTGTGCAGGATATTCCAGGCTTATCGCGCAATCTCTAAAAATATATTTAGATTATATTTAAATAGAGTTTTTCTCAAGAAAAATACATTGATATATTTTACTTTGTTCTTTTATTTTTATACTATCAATTTTCAACGATAAGTGTAATAATTAAAGCGTTCACGTTTCCTTTTGCAGCTTAAAAATTGTAGTTACAACAATTTTAATAAAAAAGATTGAAATTCCAAAAATCATAAGAAAATCTATATAGATCTATATAGATAAAAATTCTGCGCGATAAATCTTTGAATATTTTGTATTTCTGTGAATTTCCCTACAGAGCTAGATTTATTTTTAAACTGGCAATTGCATTAATCGCTGATTACTAATTATGCCTAAGAAAATAATTAGCAATGGTAAAATGGTACGTGCGTGTGCGTATGTGTGTGTTTTAGAAAAGATGAAAATAATACGAGATGTCTCATGTCAAAATTTTTCATATACTAGGCAATGTAGTACGGTGTCACCCTGTTTTGAGTAAAATTCTATCTATGCTGCACATATATGCTTTTATAATCACGTAAATGCCGAAAAAATTATATTATTGGCAATGAAAAATATATGCGTAGCATCTATATTGACATACATGCATAAACTGGTGGCCTAATGAATCGTATATTAAATTACATTCCACATGAATCAACCAACAGCGAAACAAAGGTTGAATCTGCTAAATTTTCGTAAATCCCTTATCAGCTTCCAGCTTTATTCATGAATACATTCTTTTGTTTAAAAAAAGATCTCATTTAGTCATAATCTAGTCGCGGAAGATCGAGCGCGTATTACCGCTCACTCACGAATTTTTCTCGTAAATACGAATGTTTTATACGAAACGCAGATGAATTTACACGGGTGGCACACAGTAATACAATAATGAAATATATCAATATAGTGAATAATTAGGGGAAAATACTTTTCGTTGAATAATGCTAAGATGTTACCTATGTACCAGTGCATTTTAATGAGCATATATTGAATTCGCATTTCTCCCGAAGGAGAATGCATTCTCTTCTATGTAAAAGCTAATATATTCACCTATTGATACACAAGTCTACATAATATTTTAGTGTAATTGTACACACAAGATATATCTAGATGAAATATTCGGATAGCCACGGCATTAATCACGAATTGCTATCTTATCACGATAAAGAATAATTTCTAATTACCGTGAATAGTCTTTATGTATATTTACTTTACGATAAACGGTCTAACATTTAATAAACATAGTACCTTTATTTAAAGTGCAAACTTGATAGTTCCATGGGATTATTAAAAATCCTACATTGAAAATATAATTTTTCAAGATCTTGTTTCTAATTGAAAAACAAATCAATACTAGTGATCCTCAACTTTATCATTCCATTTAGCATTCATTTTTTTTTTGCAAATATTAGTGATATTTTATGATATTTTTAGTGATTTTAATAATGTTAATAAGTGATATTTTTAATAGATCATAAATATTGGGCAGTCCTAAAAATCTGTAGGTTTCTTTTTTATATGTATGTTATAAAAATAAAACATACGTAAATAAAAATTTATCGAACATTTTTAAGGCTGCTAAATATTATATTGTTACATATTATGTTATACTGTTGCTATATAATTCTATACATTAACGAGCAATCTCGTGCAATTTTTAATCGTCACATTCGTTAATATTCCTTCTTCATACAAATATGTATGCTTTCAGGAATAGTACTAATGAGTGCTATGATGATTGCATTTAATTGTATACTACATTTACTAGTACCATTGAAATAACTTTAATAATATTAAATGTTTTTACCTGTTTAGATGTGTCTACAGCTTAAAAGCATCTTATATATTACGTGTCCAATCTATCATTAGAAAAACTGTGACACAGAACGACATACGTAGATTCCATTGTGATTATTATTCACGATTTTATTATTCACTTGTAAATTAAATATGAATTACAAAGGCTCTTTGTACATAATGGTTGCAATAATGATTTTGTTTTATATTACGTATAATATACTACTGTATCAAATAAATCAGCTACAATTTTATTTTTTTTAATCTTTCCCACATACAAAGAGGATGACAAGAAAGGATACTTGCATACGAGAAAATGCGCGTATCTTTTGTGTGTTGATGTAACGAGTACTAATTTATTGATTTACATTTAATCAATCTTTCAAATACGTGCAGAAATCTCACAATGAAAAGAAACGGAAGTAGGATGCCATTTCGGTATAAAAATTATCCTATGATAAAATAATCTCCACTTGCTCTCTTTTTGAAATCATCTAAGACAGTAAATACAATGTCAACATGATAAATAGTAATAACTTGATTATCATCTACCGTATTTTAAATATGAAGATTGAGATCATTTTCTCACAGGACAGAATTCACAGACAAAATTGTAAATAAAATTATATATAGTATCCTACTTCTCGTTATCTAGTACGTGAATGAAAGATCTATTTTTGTGTTAGCGTTTCTTATATAAATATATCGGTAAAAACAGCGCGACAAAATAAAGTCGATTAAGTGCAAAAACCCCAATCTTCGATGAAAGTTTAGTTGCACTGTGGCTTTCGTATGTCACATAAGCGAATTCAATGGCTTTCGTATGTCACATAAGTGAATTCAATTAATTGCACTCGACGCGCTCAAAACTACCGATATCTATAACACATAACTTCATACAATACGAGAAACTTTTAACTCTGCAATGCACATACGGGTTGAATCTGTGAAATCTAGTATATTCTCATTTATTTCTTATACAAGCCTAATTTATTTATTACTCTTTCGTCTGTTAATTCAGAGGTGGATCTATGTTAATATTGTATATATAAAAAATAAGTTTACATATATTTAGTATATATTATATTAACATAATATATATAATAATTATATAATAATTATATATATATATATATATATATATATATATATATATATATATATATATATACATATATATATATATTTAACATATATAATTATATATTTAACTTTTTTATATTGAAGTTGTACCTTATAAAAGGTTCCCAAAAATGCAATCACAAAACAGGATAATCTATAAAAAAAAAGATATTTAATTTTAACAAATCTCCGACTCAGTATTTCTTTGTTTCATTTAGATCTGTTTTTTCATTTGTTGTATATAATTTATTATATTTAATTTTAATCACACAGTTTTATAAAAGAGAAAAAAGTAATTTATTGATGATTATCTCATAATGATTTTTAGGAAAGTAAATCAATCAAATCGTTCGACAAAAATCTTTTCTCTAAAAATAAGAAGTTTAGTTGAAAACATGAATTTCTCCAAAAAAGATGAAGAGAGAAGTTTTTATATTAAATCTGTGAGCTGATTCGATCACGATTCAGAATCCTTGAAAGAGTAATATTATTGCCATTTTTATTTCCATTTCTGTTTCTATTTCAAGATTTATTCTTTTTCTGCGTAATGCAAAGTTAATCCATGCACATCGAGGTCAATCATCGAATTCGTTGTTTAATTCACCTCTCGAATTCATGACGCGTAAAATAACCGATACTGATTGCGCGTTCCTGAAACGGAAGTGCTATATCTTCATCTATACGACTAGTTTAATAACATTCCTTCTTTTGTACCACAAAGTGCGACCGAGCGCCGGTTTTTCGCTTTTTTTTACACTCTTTTTTTCTGTTTTCCTTTTTCTCAGAAATTCAGAGAACGCGGGCGCAACGGCAGGTATCCGTGACTACTCAGAAAACGTCGGGCGGCACGAGTCATCTCAAGTTGATCGCGAGTACGACCGCATGCCACCGTTACCCATTGCGCTTCCAATTGTGCCTGTGAAAAATATGGAAAAAAATCTTAAAATCTTCTAAGTATATTAATTCCAAAGTTTATGTCTGTGTAGTAATCGATCGTATCGTAATATATTTATTTAACTTAATAAAATAAAATATTCTATCAATATTACTATATGCAGCAATATTAAATAGACAATTTATGGTTAGCTGCGATTAAATAATTAATTGTCTCTGTGAGACAAGTGCGAAAGTAACAGAGTGTAAAACTTACCTTGATGCGTTTCACCGGCCTGAGAGGCAGAGGGCTGACGATACAGTCGAATGCGTCGAATGTGATCGCTCTCTTGGCATTCGGCTTCCGTTGTACGGACATAAAGTCGTGGGGAGTCTGGAAAGGATAGACACACTAGCTACAGCCGGCGAATAAGAGACATTCTTAGAAAAATAGTTTCATATTTCGAAAAGTAAATCGAAGGAGACGAGAGAGGAGAAGAAGGAGCAATTAGAGATTATGAGTAATTGATCGGATAAGACAGAGATCCAAGTTTACATTTTCTGAGGAATCAAGGAATTACAACATTCTTGCATGTGTATGTTCTCTTCTCATCTTCAATGTACTTTAAAAAGAGAAAATAAGAGAAAGAGAAAAAGACTACCCACAATTTGTGGAATGACTAGGCTCTTAGGTAAGGACATAAATATTTTCATACTGAACTAATTCTGGGCAAGGATTTTTATTTGTATACTGTTCCCTGCTTAAGAGCTAGGAATTTCATCGAAACATATCCTCAGGCACTCGTCAAACAATCAAATCGTAATTCAGAAATTACAAGGAAAGTGGAAGAAGTCTCTCGGTTCTTTTGAAAAACAAATTTTTCAGAAAAAAATGGATGGAAACCGTAGCACTTTACCTCAATAAGAAATGTTCGCATAAAAAAGGAAAAAAATATTAGGCCTTTCACATTTTAGATACGCGCCGTATACAAAAGTTGCTTTCGACTGAATATCCCGTATAAATATCTTTGGATGGGAAAAGATTGAGGTACTTTGGTACGCTAGGCCAGGCCTGTATAAGAATTTTAGTTAGTGTACGCAATTTATTAGTTAGTGTACGTAATTAACATGCGACAACTCAATATATTATAAAAAAAAGAAAAAAAAACAAATACGTATAAATAATAAATATTTACATATGTTTTCTATATTAATAAAAATATTTAAAAAAACATTACGCTCGTGCACAAGTTTTATACCTAGGATTCGCTTTAGGATAAAGGATTGACATGGAATGGATGTTAACATGTTCGAAATGACAAAATTAATTCAGGATAAATCATGCGATATCCTTTTTCCAACGTTAATGTGTATTTTGCAAGCAACGTTATCAATATATTAGTCATTCGCGATTTATCTCTCATTAGAATCCATCTTCAGCAGAGTTAATAAGACTGAAGCAAAACAAAAACGAAACAAAATCGGTCACCTGCCGATTACATATATGTACAAGATTAAAATGTAATAACTAATAATTTAATTTTCTGAAAGATATAAATATGATCATAATTTATAAAACCGACAAATGTCTATGTCACATAAAGAAATGCGCATAAATAAATTCAAGTGTTTTTTTTTCTCTATTGATCATAGCGTCATCAAATAACGTACGTTTCTCATGTTACATTACATAAAAATTAATACTTATAAAGTTAGTAAAGTTTTAAAATAAAAAAATAAAATTAATAAGAATATTAAATAAACATAAATAATTAACGGCCAAAGTGTCAATGTGTCACCGATATAAGTTTCAATAAATAAATCGAATTGATCTTAATCTTAGTTATTATACATGATATTATATCTAAAATTAACAAAAATGATAATCTTTGGATTGGGCGATTTAAGCGACGAAACGAATACAAATAGCAAAAGAAGAAAAAACAAAATAGAAAACTATCGATACCTATGCTAGATTGGATTTTGTCCTCAAAACAACGAATAGAAAGCATTAAATAAATAAGATGTGAGGATGCAGGCAAAAATTTAAGTACAAAGACAGCGTTAAGAGAAAAGTTAGAAGGCCGGCTAGCGTGTCTAAGGACGGTTGGTACGAGAATAGAACCAGGAAAGGGCGGGTTGATTATGAATCTGACTTTGATTTTGAGAACGTTGTTGTTCTACCTTTGTGGGACTAGTTCCTGCTGTCAAGAAACTATCTTCCAGCGCCATAGATGCAGGCGAAAATAACGTAGAAGCATCCAAACTTTTACTCTACAAAAGAAAAAACAGGAATATAGTTACCTGTCACAAATTTCTTGAGATTTATTAATGCGTTCAACGTAAAAATTGAAACATCATTATATTGAACTTGTATATTACCGATGAAATTATAACTGATGTTCATTTCTGAATTTATCAAATCATCAAATACATTTTGTTTAAACTAATATTTAATAGCTTTTGTAATCATTGAACGCAATATGATTTATCTCAAGTAATTATCTGAAACATACTGGCGTCTCCACAAGAAAACTCATGTCGGAGCTGTCCTGTGCCCAAGCTTGAGAAAGAGCCTTGCGCGCGCGCTTTCCTCCTGGTGCACTGTTCTCTTTACCGCGTCTTCGTATCATGCTACTATAACCTGAGTCTTGCTCATGAATCGCACTCGTTCCAACTAGACTCTCGCGGTCGGTCTCCTGTTTTATTATCTCGGTCAGAGCATCCAGACGACTAGGAGTAGCAGGCAACTGTGCCGCTCCGGTTCGTCGCTCGAGCTCGGCCAAAGCGTTTTTAAATGGCGTCGGTGTTCTTGGTGTATTACCGTCTATAAAAATGATAACAATAAAAAATAATCCTAAAAAACCTAATAACTTTTTATAGAATGAATTTACTTTATAATATTACACGTGAACATTATCTTAAGAAATTGTATAATCCATAAAAAATTATAAATTATTTAATGTAGAGTATATGAGTGTTCTTGTAGAAAATATACCATTTTGACTTCGTCGGAAACCGGTAGGCTGCGGTGTTGTAAGCGGACCAGGACTGCTCGCTTTAGGGGTACTCGCGCGTGGCCAGGATGTCTCCGGACTGAGACTATTCAGGAATTGCGAAGGACTGAATGGAAGTTGCTTGATAGGAGTCGAAGGAGTAATGTTTCCCGTTTGCACTTGTTGACCCGTTATGATGTAATCCGACTGATTCGCATTGTCGGAAATGTCTATCCTCTGTAGCAAACTGTGCGCGTTTTTACGTCTACGTAATATAGGTGGCGGACTGCTCTTCTTTTCCACATGCTGCTCAGGTATATCCTCCAAGTCCGGCATTGGTATCAATTTTATATCTGAACTCTTCGAACCAGTTTCGTTTTGTATTTGTTGCAGATTGAAATATCTACGAAAAAGAAAAAAAAGATAGTTAAAGACTATTCTTCATGATAAAATTTCACTTAGCCATTTATATTTATCTCAAAGATGATATACTTAGGTAACGACGAGACTGTTTCGATTTTCGCTCGCGACGATCTCTTGGACGGAAACGCGCATTTTTCGCTGTCCTGCGTATGTCTATTTAGTTGCAGCGCATCCTGGTATCCCCCTAGAGTTTGTTCCCAGCCTCTGACCCAATCCAATTGCTGGATGTTAAGAGTTTGCGAGTTATTCGCCGCTATCGTCGAACTATTGCCGCTAGTTGAGGCAACCTTCATCTGATTCTGGTCATCTTCCAGAAGAAGTGTATCGGTAATGCTTTGTGTACTTTTTCTCTTCCCTCTGCCTAAGTATAATAAGTTTCGGCCATTTCTTATCGTATTCTATCAAGGCTATCAAGTATTATGAATGGAAACGTTAAGTATAAT